TACCACAGTAATACAAAGAACTTTAATATGAGTTGGCCTTTTTAAAAATCCTTTAGTCATCCCACCATTTGCTGGACCATCCTCTCCAGCCCTCTCTACTATCCTCTCTTTTCTTTCCCCCATTCCAAACTCCTGCTCATTTCTAATGCAGAGCAATGTAGCTCTCACTCAGCCTTTGGCTCTAACCTTCTCACCAAGTGACTGATTGCTGTGTTTCCCTGAGTAGGAACCGTCCTCTCCTTCTGGTGAATTCTGGTACCAGCTAAGACAAGTTTTTTACATCCCACTATACTAGGAATAGAAGGAGACCTCAGTAACTTGATAAAGACCTTAGCATCAAAACACAGAACAGCGAACAGTGAAGGTGTTTGGGTTAACACCAGGAACAAGCAAAGACACCGTCATTTCCACCTCCCTCTGAAGTTGTTCTGAATCAGGGCTTCCAACTTCAGGGCTCCCTTACCTCCCTAGGTCTCAAAGGATTTTCCTCACTTTCTTGTAAGCTCCTCCATTCATTTAAAAGGGTTTAAAAAATATTTATCTAGCATTTTTCAGATGTTTTATTGTGAGTTTAGAGTGTTCCGATTAAAATGTTAAAGGTATACACCTATGACCTGTCAATTCCACTCCTGAGAATCTGTCCTGTAGAAATGTTCATACATGGCCGTCCCTTACAGCATTAATTGGTACTAGAAAAAATTAAAGAAAACTTAAATTTCAGTAGCTAAATAGGTAAATTGTGAAATGTCCATAATATGGATACTCTATTGCTATTAAAAACAGAGATGGGGCCAGCCTGGTGGTGTAGTGGTTAAGTTCGCCCCCTCTGTTTCGGTGGCCCGTGGTTCAGAAGTTCAGATTCCAGGTGTGGACCTACACACTGCTCATCAAGCCACACTGTGGCAGTGTCCCATATACAAATAGAGGAAGATGGGCACAGATGTTAGCTCAGGAACAATCTTCCTCACCAATAGGTAAATAAATAAATAAACAGAGACAGATTTATACCTTTTAATATGAAGTCAACAATGTCTAAAGTTAATCAATCAAGAGAATGTTACAGGCAATGTATTTAGATACTGATGAGTGCAAAATTAAAATGATAAAACATTATATATAGTATGATTCCATTTTTATTTTTGAAATATATTTTTGGTATAAAGTCAGTATGTGCATACAAAATGGTTTGGAAGGACACATAGGAAAGTGTTAACAGTATTTATTCCTAGGAAATGCAAGTGGGGATGAGGGAGACTTTTATCTTTCACTTTATACATTTCTACACTGTGTGAATTTTTCACAATGAACATGAATTTATTTTGTAAAAATATAAAGGTTTTTACTCTCAGAGATAGCAGAAAAAATTATATCTAAATGTCAAAATAAAGAACTTGGTGTTTTTTTTTTTGTGAGGAAGATTGGTGAGGCCCTGAGCTAACATCTCTTGCCAATCTTCTTCTTTTTGCCTAAGGAAGATTGTTGCTGAGCTAACCAACATCTGTGCCAGTCTTCCTCTATTTTGTATGTGGGATGCCACCACAGCATGGCTTGGTGAGCAGTATGTAGGTCCAGGCCCAGGATCTGAACCTGTGAACCCCAAGCTGCCGAAGCAGAGTGGACAACTTAATCATTACACCACCAGGCCAGCCCCAGAGCTTTTTAAAAAGAAGTGCAATTGGCCTAGAACAAGAAAGAGGATGGCTCCACTTCAGATGGTCCCATCTAACGTGTTCAGAGAGAGGGACCAGACTGGGAATCGTGTCCGGGAATTATTGGAGGCCTGAAGATGTTTAGGTTGCAGAAGGCAAGACTTAGAGATCTGAGGGCCCTCCTCAAATATTTGAGGCCTGGAACGTAACACGTGCTTCTGAAGGAAGATGGGTTGGAATGACAGAGTCAGGCTTTTATCTAGGGTGAGAAGGACCTTCCTAAGAGTCCAAGTGTCATTTTAAACAGCTTTACCCTCTGACTCTGCTGCAGACCGTCTGCTGGTTCTTGTTCCAGCTCTCACTCTCAGACTAAGTCATTCCTCTTGCCAGGCCTCTGATGCCCTCACTCTGGTTCCTACTCTGCTTTCTACCTGACCTTTGCAGCTGATGTTCCAGAACTTCTCTCTTCTTGCCCGCTGGCCTGTCTCTGCCCAGTGCCGTGGCTTGAACCAGCCCTTCCCACTCCTATGCCTGGTCCTTGTACCCAAAGGCCCTCCCTTATCTCCCGCCTGGGAGGAGAAGCCCCGTGCTTACCAATGGTGGAACTGGATGCTTCCGAAGGTAGTGTGTTTCTTGTCTGGGATTCTTTGCTTACAAGTAACAAAATCTGTCTCCAGCTAACTTGAGCAAAAACTGGAAGAACATTGAGTAGCTGGGAAGTCTGAAAACCAGTCCAGGGACCAGGAGAAGAATCAAGGCAGTTGCAACTCTCAAACTCTCTCTCCAAGGTGACATCTCTGGCATGGGTGACCCCCCACGTGTGTTCAGTCCATATTTTACCCCACTCAAGACTCAGAATCCCAGGAACAGAAGTTCTGAGTGGCTAAGCTTATTCTGGGTGGTCTGGCTCTAACTGGGTGGGTGAGAGGAAGCTCTGGCTGGCAGAGCCCATGAAGGCCTCCGAGGACCCCTCCTGTGGCCCTCGCAGGAGAGCAGGACATTTGATTTAAAGGCCCTCCATCCTGAATGCAGTCGAGGTCAGGTAAACTCCCCCAAACACACAAGAATCAGGTCTGTTAGGAAAGGAGAATGGGTACTGAGCAGCCAAAAGAACAGCTCTCGGACAGACGTGGAACCAGGCTAGCAGGTCCTAGGTCCACTGTGGACTTTTCTAGACTTTGAAAAACTTTTTTTTCCTAAATAAGTTTATTAAAACAAAATGACCGCTAACTGGTGTCACCATCATTTCATGAAAGTCATTAATATAAAAAAGTAGAAAAGACAACCTCAGAATAAAGGAGAGTCTTTGAAGTGAATTAATCCACTTTATGTCAGATTTATGACAATGTATTTTTTCTTGTTTCCCTCATTTCCCTGGAGACCAGTGAACACAGACTGGCCTCCATTTGGAGATGGGGTTTTAGGAATCATTGGACTGAATGATCTATATGTTCCCTACTTACCCCAAGTCTCTCTGGTTCCAGTAGGATCTCGCTATAGAATGGTGCTTCTCACCCGGGGGCGATTTTGCCCTCTAGGAGACATTTGGTCACATCTGGAGACATCGCTGGCTGTCACAACTGGGGACTGGGGGAGGAGTACTACTGGCATCTAGCAGGTAGAGCCCAGGGCTGCCACTCATCCTCCTACAATGCATAGGACAGCCACCCCTCTCCCCCCAACAAAGATTTATCTGGCCCAAAATGTCAAAGGGCCGAGGCTGAGAAACCCTGCTATAGATAAGAAATCTCTTTAAGCAATTAAAATGGATGTGATCAGAGAAGCATGATTAGGTGCTGTCCCAGCCTTTATTCATGAAACAGAATTGTTGTTTGGTTAAATTATAACCACTTCTTCCAAATAAAATGCATTGCTTTTTTTTTAAATATAAAAGTAGTACACAATCATTATTGACACTTTTGGGAAAAGGCAGAGGAATATAAGGAAGGAAAACAAAACCCTCTCGGCCCCAGCCTGTTCTCTTTCCTGATCGACTTCCTTTTGGTTGTCTGCTAGCATCTCAAATATAGCACGTCCAAAACAGACCTCTTGATTTTTCCACCCCACTAAGCTATTCCTTCCCAGGTCTTCCCGCCTGAGCAGCTGGCACCTAAACCTTTGGAGTCATCCTTGACTCCTCTCTCTCACACCCACATGCAGTCCCTCAGCAAACCCTGCCAGCTCTGCTTCATCATGTATCGCCAATGCGATCACTTCTCACCCCTTCCCCGAGTCCTCAGGCCCAGCCCCAGGGGCTCCCCCGGCCACTGCAGAGGCCTCCTAACTGCTCTTCCCACATCCGCTCCCACCCGTTGCAGTCATTTCTCCACACATCAGTCCAAAGGGCTTTAGAAGAATTGATCAGATTATGTTGTACCCTGGCTCAAAACCTTCCAGTGGCTTCTATCACACTTAGAAAACATCCTAACTCCTTACCGTGGCCCAGAGCCCCTGCTCCCCCTTCAGCTTCACCATTTATTCTCCCTTTGAGCCACACAGGCCTTGTTTCTGTCCCTCAGCCACACCAAGCTCTTGTCTGCCTCAGGGTCTCTTGCGCTTGCTGTCCTCTTTGCTGGAATATACCACAGATCTTCCTCCCGTCATTCTCGGCGTGCCAGGACCACTCCTCCTCAGGGTAGCCCTCCCTGGCCGCCCCGTGGGGAAGAGCCCTCTCCTCCCCAGTCTCCCGTCCCACCGCCCTCCACCCCGGCCCTGCTTGATTCTTATCTGAAGCACTTATCAGTCCACAATAGCATGTTAATTTTTTATTTGTTGATTTATTTGTTTTTCTCTGACTATAATGCAAGCTCCATGAGGGCTGGAATTTGTCTTCTTCTTGACTGAAATCTCCAGCACCTAGAACAGTGTATATACATCCCAGCCACCCAAGAAACATTTGCTCAGTGAATTGTTAACATTTTGGTAACTGTGCTTCCAGGTTCTCATCTGTGTTGTTGTTGGTTTTTTTTACTGATTTATTTCAAATAAAATATACGTGTATTTACCCAATTTTACATCTCAATTTTTTTAATCTACTATTGTATCTGAAGCAATACTTTAGTACCAACTCTTTATAAGCATTTTAACAGTAGCATACTCTTCCTTTGGGCAGAGATATCAATATTGTCTCCTTGACCATTTAGGTTATTCTAATCTTTTGCTATAGTAAATATCTCTGCAGTAAACATCTTAGTGCCTACATCTTTTTTATTTATTTTCGGTAATTTCTTTAAGATAGCATCCTAAAATGGGACTTACTGGATCAAAGGGCATGAGTACCTTTACATTTCTTAATACCTGCTGTAAAAATGACCATACCCTTTATTTTTCTCTCTCTCTCTTTCCCCTCAGTCTCACCCCGCCTGCAGAAGCCCTGAGATGACTTCAAACCTCTTCAACGTGTACGGGAAGAGCCCTCTGATCGCGCACTTCCTCCACAACCATGCCACTCTGCTGCAGCGTGGCGAAGACGTGTTGGTAGCCAGGAGGGAAAAGAGCAAGACCATCCCATATCCTTTCCACCACGGGTGGGGCACGCGTTACTCTGGGCCCCTGCTTCCTCTTCCCAGAAGCATGGGTGGGGAGAGGCATCCAGCCCTTAGCACAGTGCCTGGCACATAGTAGGTGCCTGTCAAGGGTGGCCATTGGTACAAGCCTAAGGGTCAGAATCTTACTCGTTTTGGTCCTGCGTCTGCCTCATGAACTGGCTATGTGCGACCCTGGGCAAGTCAAATTGCCCTGTGTGCAAAATCTCTTCCTATCTACCAGGACCAATGGGCTAACCAAGTACTCTAACACACTTTGCAACTCAGCAACTCCCAGATGCTCATTGACCTGCAGTATCTATTGATCAGGAATTTTGGTGTCTAGGTGTGTGTTCCTTCTAACACCCTCCTCACACACACCCCACTCCTAGACCCATCAGCAAATTCCTGCACCCAATGGCATTTATCCTAAAGATTTGGTAAAGAGCTCAGATATTAGAAAACAGCCATGATGTATGTTGCTGTCCTGAGTCTTAGCAGTTTACCATAGCGGGGCCGAACATGGAATCAAATAGACCTGGACTCAGGAACCAACTCAATCACTTGCCCACTGAGTGATCTTAGACAAGTTCCAGCTTCTCTGAGCCTCATTTTTTTCATCTATAAAGTGGGAATGACAGTACCTGCCTCACAGGGCTGTTACGCAGAGTCCAAGCACAGTCGAGGTAGAGGCTTAGCACAATGCCTGGCAGGCGACAAGGGCTTGAGTGCTACCTGTCTGCATGTAGCTCCACATCGGGAGGAGCTTTCATCACGAACTAGGCGAGACTTGTAACTCCTGGCCTAGAGTGCTCATATCCACAAGCTTATTTATATGCCCACAGGCAGAGAACAACAACTCACATTTCATAGCACCTTTTTGTTTATCAAATACTGTCCCTCATTTCCCCTCATTGTTCTATAAAGACAGCATGGTGTGGCGGAAGGAGCCTGGGTGGGGGATACACAGCCCTGGATTTGAATCCCAGTGCGGCAACCCACTGGCTTTAAGATCTCACGTGCACAGCTAACCTCTGAGCTCAATGTCTTTATCAACTCATTCCTAAAATAGGATAGTTATACCAAACCAATAGTGTTATGACCAGGAGTAAATGGCATACAGCTGGTACTAAATGAGTAATAACTGTCATTATTACTGTTAACATCATCTAAGATAGGGATTATCGTCTCTATTTTATAGATAAGGAAATGGAGACATAGAGGATGACATCTCTTATCTGAGGTCCCACAACTCATGACGAGTTTAGCTGAGATCCTGACTGATCCAGAAGAGGTGGAAAGGGTGGGAGAGGCAGAGGGGGATTGTTCACGTACAAACATGAGATAGGGAATGAGGCCTGGGGCCCGAGAGGAGAGCAAAGTATGAACCCCTTCCTATTCACTACTGTGATAACAGAGTAAGAATTTTAGAGGACAGTCTGAAAGCATTTCCTGGCCCGTCCATCAGCAGGAGAGAATGGCTTTATTAAAAGATGAGGAATGGCCCAGCCATGGGGAAGCGAGCCTCTTTCCAAAGCAGGCCCTGTCAAAGAGCGGAAGGGTCATTCCTGCTCGGATTTCGGTTGTCTCGCCTAGAAATGTAGGTCATTTCCCCCTCTCTGCCGTCTCACTCTCCCTCCTCCCCATGCACTAGGCGCATCCCACTAAAAATGCTAGAAGTCAAAGCCAACTGACAGTGTGAGGTTTTCTTTGACGAGGCCACTGAATGCAGCCTGACCTACGCTGACGTCATCAGACTGACCCTGCGCAACATGAAGAAGCGGAGGGACACCCTGCGCCAGTTGAACCAGCTTCACTGGACGGAATGGAATTATTTCGATGTGTACCTCAAGGAGCTGCAGGACAACTTCCTCAGGTATGTAAGGGGCTTTCGGGAAGTAGCACGTTTCCTCATTGTCTATTCTGGCACATCACAGAAATTTTTAATGGGGGGCTACCCTGTAACTGTCTTAAACACGTGCAGCTTTCTTGTGATCAAGATGTAAGCTCCACAATAACAGAGACCAGAACTTTTTTTAAAAGTTATTTTTTCTAACTACAAAAACATTTGTGCCCAATAAAACAAAGAAAAAACCTGGAAAAGCACCTAGAGATATACTTTGCCAACATTTTTCTATAAATCCTTCCAGTCTTTTTTTCTGGGCACATATATCTGTATCTTTAAACAAAAGTAGTAGCGTCAGAGTGTCAAGCTGTTTTTCAGACGTTTTCTTCCCCACTTAGCAGCATATTATGAACATTTTTCTGTGTCTTCTCCCTTTTTCAATATTTTTGTTTTATTTAGACAATTTTCAGACCTTTCAGAAAAGTTTAAAGGATAGTACAGTTTAAAGTTCAAAGGATATGCCCTCATTGCATTTACCAATTATTCACATTTTGCCACATTTTCCTTCTCTCTCTAATAATTATGTCAAATTCAAATTGCCCTAGTGGCACCCAAAGCATCTTTTTTGGTTTTACTTGGTTTTACTTGATTGGATCCTGCCCAAGGATCCAGTCAAGGATCAGGAATTATATTTTGTTGTTATCTCTTTGGTGTCTTTTAATCTATAACAGTGCCCTGCCTCCCACGCTTGTTATTATTACTACTATTATTTTTTTTTATGATATGGACTTTTTTGAAAAGCTCAAGCCACATTCTGGATTCTTCTGATTATTTTTTCCAGGTGTCATTTAGCTTGTTCCAGTATATCCTATATTTCCTATAAACTGGACATTGGGTCTACACTAGAGGCTTGATTAGATTCAAGTTAAGTCTTTTCACCAAAAATGCTTAATAGGTGATGTTGCATGTTTACTTTATGCCCCATCGGGAGACACAATGTCGGGTTGCCCTACTGCTTGATTAAGGTGGCCTCTGCCAGATCTCTGCATTGTGAGACTACGTTCTTGCCTTTGTAATTAGTTGGTAATGAGCGGTGTGATTCTTTGAGACTGTGTGAATATGCCTCCCCCACACCTTCACCCAGTGGCTTTGGCATCCCCTGATGGGCTTTGTCAGAATCAGGTATTACATTTCAGGTTGCAAAATGGTGATTTTTCTGCTACTCCCATTCCTTCTACATTTATTAGCTGGCATTTTTCTACAAAGAAGAGCTCTCACCTTCTTGTCTTGTTCTTTGTCTCTCTCGCTCATGTCTTCTCTGCCTGCCCCCATAACTCATTCACGTGGCCGCCCTGGCTGCAAGGGAAGCTTGACAAGTGTCTAAGAAAAGGGATTGAGATTGTCATGACTGGACTGGACCAGAACTGGGCACTTTGTTACCCAAAACAAAATTGGATTCACTTTGCAAGGGAGAAAGCGGGGAGTTGCTATTGGCTAGACTGCTCTCTGTATCTGCCATAATATGAGAAAGAAAAATATGAACACAGGTGAATACTTTGTTATACAAAGTAATACAATCAAGTTATTTCTAAAATATTATGGGATGTAGACAAACAACACACACACACACACCCACCTGTTCACCACCACCACCATCACCACGGGAATGCAGTTCAGCCTAAATGTTCATCAAAAGACGATTGGTTAAATTAACTATCGTACGTCCACGTACTCTGCAGCCAAGAAAAATGGTGATGTCAATCCATTCTTATTTTATAAGGAAAGGTGGTCACAACATATTATTGGGCAAAAAAAATCAGATTATAAAATAGTGTGTATAAATAGGCACAGTAATTTATCCCCATTTTAATCAGATGTGAAAGCTGAGGTCAAGGACAGCGTGTGGAGACAGCTATGTCGGGGAGGATAGAATATGGGTTGGAGAGAGGAGTGACCGGCAGGGAAGGAGCAGCCTGTGTACAAAGGCATGTGCACCATGAAGCTGAGGGAAGAGAGGACTCAGGGGAGCAGTACGCAGCAGTGTGCGTGCCAGGCACACTGACGTGGAGTTGAGACCGGTTTGGTGACTCAGTAGAGAACAGTCTCAACAGGGCTGGAGTCAGACACCGAGCCTGGGACGTTAAGGGGAAGGTATGGGTCCCCAGGGGAGACGGGATTACTAGGAAGCAGAAGGAGCAAAATTCTGCATCAAAAAGGCAAGATTGGTGAGTTGGTGAGTAGCAGGGCTCTTTAAACATTAGTGTGGAAGACCCAAGCCTGTGTGAAGGAGGAGACATTGGAGATGCTGGTGAGGGAGGAGAGGGTCAGGATGGGGAAGAGAAAGAGCGAAGGAACAGCTCCGTGGGGCTCTGTGCTTCCGCCTCTGTTACATTATGCTTTATTTCTTCCATACAGTCATGAGTCGCTTAACAACGGGGATACCTTCTGAGAACTGTGTCATTAGGCGATTTCCTCATTGTGTGAACATCAGAGAGTGCACTTACACAAACCTAGATGGTATAGCCTACTCCACACCTAGGTTCTATGATGCTAATCTCGTGGGACCACTGTCATATATGCGGTCTGCCGTTGACCGGAATGTCCTATGCAGTGCACGTCTGTACTTCATCCATTGTCCCAACAGATATTTTCAGCACCTTCTATGCACCAGGCATTATATTTTGTTTACAACATGTATGTTTTGTATGTCTGTGTCTCCTAATAGTTGTAAGAATCCTTGAAGACAGGATCCATGGGATGGCAGAGGCTAGGGTTAGAATATAGTATTTTTTACTTACTGGCTCTGTGACATTGGACCAGTCGCATAGGTTGCTGAGCTTCAGTTTTGTTCTTTTTAATTAAATGAACATATTATTTCCTACTTTGTAGGGTTGTGTTGATCAATAAAATAAGGCACGTAAAGCCTTTTCACAGGACCAAGTCCATAGTAAGTAACTGTATCAGAATCAAGATTCAGATTGTATCAGATGAATCAAGATTGACCTTATGTTGGTAACTCTTGAAGCTGGATGATGGGTTAATGATGTTAATTATACAATCTTGTTTACTTTTATATATGATTAAAATTTTAAATAACTTTTTGGGTTTTTTTTAATGGTGGTCATAAGAACAAAAGGTGATGAATGCCCACGTGGAGTGTTCCTTGTAGGTGGGCTAGGACTCCTTCAGGACATTGGTTACCATTAATTTCCCTAATAAAGCCTATCAGTTAGGAGTACTGGCTTTGAACTTGGACTGACTGGAGCTCCAGTTGCAGCTTGTCTCCCTCTGCTTGTGAATTAGACCCATCATTTAGCCCCTGTGCGGCTTGGATACCATCTGTATAACAAGGACGCTAATAGTAGTACTCACAGAGGAGTTGTGTGGGTGAAAGGAGATGTCTAGCTCTGTGCCTGACTCAGAGGAAGAGCTCAGTAAATGATGGCTGGTGAGATAACACGTGTGACCTCATACCGTGAAAACAGCAGGGTCCTGGGGCTGCCCCATGGCTGAGTGGTTAAATTCGCGCACTCCACTTCAGCGGCCCCAGGATCCTGGGTGCGGACATGGCACCGCTCATCAGGTCACGTTGAGGTGGCATCCCACATGCCACAACTAGAAGGACCCACAACTATGTACTGGGGGGATTTGGGGAGAAAAAGCAGGAAAAAAAACCCTTCAGGGTCTGAAGCAGCACAAGGACTTGAAGCTGGAGAGTTTGCAGCTGGGGAGGCCTGGAGAGGGCCCCTGAGACAGCGCAGACCAGCGGCGATTCTGCAGGGTCCCGGCGCTGGAGGAAGGAAGAGCCTGGTTTGCACACGCAGCTGGGGCTGTGCGGGGAAGGAGCAGGGTCAGCTGCTGCTGAAGGACAGTCTTCCTGTGAGTCCAGAGCCCTGATGCTCAAACTTGTCGGGGCAGAGCACCCACAATTCAGAATGCTCTTCGCAGAACCCTCAGAACATTTCAACGTATGATTCTGCCGTACAAACTAAAGATGCTTTCCTAGTAGAAAATGTGAGCCTAAGACACATGTAGGCTTCAACATCTCAAGAAATGATGACACAGAAATAGTATCAGGGAATTACCTCCAAGTTATTCTGTTAGAAAATGTGAGCATAACAAGGACAAATGCGACTCGCTGCTTTCTTTTTGTCTCTCCATTGCAAGCAGAAACAGGCTCCAAAGGGTTAAGAAAAAGTTGTGGCAGAAGATCCCAAAAGTAAGAATGTTGTGAACATTTTTTCCTTTGACTTGGGAAGAGACACTCATTGTTGGAATCACCACTGGTTTAGGCCAAGTATTCAGTGCTAGTTTTCTTACGCCAGTCTTTCTGCTTCTATCCTGCAGCGGCAAGAAGCATATGACAGCGTCTTAATTCACTTGAATATATACCCATTGCTATTTTGTCTACCTCGATACCCATAATCTGCTTCTTTGAGTAAATGTTTACTCACATTTAAAGTTAGCTGCTATGTTACCCAATTCAGCATTCCCATTGTGCACCCCAAGCTTATCTGAACACACACCACTGAAAACCTGCTCCAAAAATAACACCAGCAGCTGCCGCCTACATTTATTGAGCACTTCCTGTGTACCAGGCACTGTGCTAAGTGCTTGACCTTTGGTAACTCAGTGAATCCTCACTACAATCCTAGGTTCTATTATTACCCTGTTGAGATGAGTACATGGCATGGAGAGGCTAAGTAATTTGCCCAAGTCACACGCAAGTGGCAGAGTGCCAACTTGAATTCAGCTTGCCCTCAAAGTTCACACTTCGGCTTTCTCTCAGATCGTAAATTTCTTCACCTGTCTTCCTAATTTGAATACAGTAGTCACCCCTTATCCTTGAGGGATGTGTCCCAAGACCCCCAGCAGATGCCTGAAACTGTGGATGGTACCAAACCCTATATAGACTATGTTTCTTTCTATACCTACATACTTATGATAAAGTTTAATTTATAAATTAGGCACAGTAAGAGATTAACGACAATAGCCAATGATAAAATAGAAAAATTATAACAATATAAAAAAAGTTACCATAGATCTTAGCAACCTCAGCATGATTTTTTCTTTCCCTAGTTTTCCTTAGTTCCTCGAGAACTTTCACCATTTCATTTAAAGCACTTTCAAGCTTCTCTTTGCCACATCCAGCAAATATGCAAATTGCCAGCATCACTACTCTTGCGCTTTGGGGCCATTATTAGGTAAAATAAGGATTCCTTGAACACAAGCACTGCAGTACTGCAACAGGCGACAGTCGATCTGTTAACTGTCATCTGTTAACTGCTAAGTGACTAATGGTCAGGTAGCTGAACATATGAAGTGGGACAGCTCAAGATTTTATCATGCTACTCAGAATGGCATGCAATTTAAAACTTATGGATTGTTTATTTCTGGAATTTTCCACTTAATATTTTCAGACCAAGGTCAGCTGTGGGTAACAACCTGCAGACACGAAACCGCAGACCGTGAAACGTGGATAACTGTGTGTGTTCCTTGAGTTCAGGGACCACATCTTATTCCTCTGTGTCCCCAGGACTGATGTGACCCGTGGCACATGGCAGGGCCTCCGGGACTGAGTTGCTGCTGCATGGTCAGCTCTCTCTGCTTCAGTCAGTTGCTTTTGACAGATGTTAATGATTGACTTTGTAAATATTTGCCTTTCTTTACATGTGAAGATAGGAGTGGAAAGATCATGCTGACTCTTTAGCCTTTTTCTATGTGTGTCTTTGTGATTTCCCCACAGGGAGGTGAAGAATATCAACCAAAGAGCAATAGATAAAAAAAAGGCAAATCACATGTGCATTCCACCCGTCACCTTCATGGAGGAATTGTCTGATAAGAAGTCTGTAGAAAGCTGTCAGAGGGAGGCTGCGTTTCTGGCAAGGTTTGTTTGAACAAAGACCATGGGGAAAGTAGAAATGTGAATGTCGTAAGAATTATTTTTAATGTGCATATTTAACTTTAATAAATGTTATGTAATTTTTCTATCAAATAAGTTTTATTTCTATAGGTCTTACACATTTCTTTTTTTAATTTAATTTTTTTTGAGGAAGATTAGCCCTGAGCTAACTGCTGCCAATCCTTCTCTTTTTGCTGAGGAAGACTGGCCCTGAGCTAACATCCGTGCCCATCTTCCTCTACCTTATATGTGGGATGCCAACCACAGCATGGCTTTTGCTAAGTGGCGCCATGTCCGCACCTTGTATCCGAACCGGCAAATCCCGGGCTCCTGAAACAGAACATGCGCACTTATCCCCTGCGCCACCAGGCTGGCCCCACATTTCTTTTTTTTAAATTTATTTTATTGAGGTCATAATGGTTTACAACATTGTGTAATTTCAGTTATATATTATTGTATATCAGTTTCTGTATAGACTGCATCATGATCACCACCAATAGTCCAGTTTTTATCTGTCACCATACATATGTGTCCCTTTACCACTTTCACCCCACCTCCCACCCCCTTCCCCTCTGGTAGCCAGTAATCTGTTCTCTTTGTCCATGTGTGTGTTTATCTTCCACATATGTGTGAAATGATATGGTGTTTGTCTGGCTTATTTTGCTTAACGTAATACCCTCAAAGTCCATCCATGTTGTTGCAAATGGCATGATTTTGTGTTTTTTCTGGCTGAGTAGTGTTCCATTGTGTATACACCACATCTTCTTTATCCAGTCATCGGCTTCCATTCTTGGCTGTTGTGAATAATGCTGCCGTGAACATAGGGGTGCATAAATCTCTTTGTATTGTTGATTTCATGTCCTTTTGATAAACATCCAGAAGTAGGATGGCTGGGTCATATGGTATTTCTATTTTTAGCATTTTGAGAAATCTCCATACTGTTTTCCATAGTGGCTGCACCAGTTTGCATTCCTACCAGCAGTGTATGAGGGTTCCCTTTCCTCTACATCCTCTCCAACACTTATTATGTCTTGTCTTGTTAATTATAGCCATTCTGACAGGTGTAAGGCGATATCTCAGTGTAGTTTCGATTTGCATTTCCCTAATAATGAGTGATGTTGAACATCTTTTTATGTGTTGGCCATCTGTATATCTTGTTTGGAAAAGCGTCTGTTCATATCCTCTGCCCATTTTTTGATCAGGTTGGTTGTTTTTTTGTTGTTGAGTTGTATGAGTTCTTTATATATTTTGGAGACTAACCCCTTGTCAGATATATGATTTGAAAATATTTTCTCCTAGTTGTAGGTTGTCTTTTCATTTTGTTCTTGGTTTCCTTTGCCTGGCAGAAGGTTTTTAGTCTGATGTAGTCCTGTTTGTTTGTTTTTTCTTTTGTTTCCCTTGCCTGAGCAGACATGGTATTTGAAAAGATGCTGCTAAGACTGACGTCAAAGAGTGTACTGCTTATATTTTCTTCTAGGAGTTTCAGGGTTTCAGGTCACTGTCAGAATTCTCAATAGATGGAAAACAACACATAAAAGTTCACTTGCTTTTATGTATTACTCACTCAACTCTCATTTTGTTTTTATCATTAATAATAGTAAGAGTTACCAATGATGTTGTACTTCCTTCTGCGCCATGCACTTATACTTTATGAACTGTATGAGTCAGAGCTCTTTGGTTGCAAGTGCCAGGAAACCAGCTCAAACTAGCTTGAGCAGAAGGGAAAGCTGGTGCTTCAGAAACTAGGAAGGCTGCAGACAGGCTGGCTGCAGGCACGTTGGACCTAAGGCCTCAGTGATATTTTCAGGTTTTCTCTCTCTCCCCCCTCTTCTTTCCCTCTGTGTGCTAGCTTGTTTTTCAAGCTGCCCCTGCCCTCAGGCCACAGATAGCCCCAAGCCGGTGTCCTTATAGTGCATGACCTAAGAAGAGTGACTCTCCTCCAGCCTCTATAAACCAAGTCTCATAAAGGTCTCTGATGGCTCCACTTGGGTCCCGGCCCCACCCTCCTGTCTGGACTAACGCTGTGTTCAGGAAGAAGTAGTGCTGTGTTTAGCCAGGCCTGAGTGAGCAGGGCACCATCGAGGGCATGGAGTAGAATAAGTGAGATGCATCAGACAGAGACAACATACCCACTTTATTTTATTTATATCTCATCAAAACCCTGTTAGATAACATCACTCTCATTTTACTGAATAGAAAACTGAGGCACAGAGAAGCGAAGTAAACATTGACTGAAGACCTGCTATGCCAGGCACTAAGGATACAAAGAGAAAGTTTTGGCAATTATTAATAAAGGTGCTATAAATATCCACGTGCAGGTTTTTGTGTGGACATACATTTCAACTCTTCAGGTAAATACCAAGGAGTGTGATTGCTGGGTCCTTTGGTAAGTGCATGTTTAGTTTTATAAGAAATCTCCAAACTGTCTTCCAAAGTGGCTGCACCATTTTGCATTCCTACCAGCAATGAATGAGAGTTCCTGTTGCTCCACAGCCTTGTCAGCATTTGATGTTGTCAGTGTTTTGGATTTTGGCCATTCTAATAGGTGTGAAGTGGTATCTCATTGTTGTTTTAATTTGTATTTCCCTGATAACATATGATGTGGAACATCTTTTCATATATTTATTTGTCATCTGTATGTCTTCTTTGGTGAGAAGTCTATTAAGGTTTTGGGCCCATTTTTTAATCAAGTTGTTTGTTTTCTTATTGTTGAGTTTTAAGGGCTCTTTGTATATTTTGGAGAACAGTTCTTTATCAGATATGTCTTTTGCAAATATTTTCTCCCAGTCTGTGGATTGTCTTCTCATTCTCTTGACATTATCTTTTGCAGAGCAGAAGTTTTTAATTTTGGTAAAATCTAGTTTATCAGTTCTTTCTTTCACACATTGTGCCTTTGGTGTTGTATCTAAAAAGTCATCACCAAACCACAGTCATCTAGATTTTCTCCTATGTTACCTTCTAGAAGTTTTATAGTTTTGCTTTCCACATTTAAGTCTATGCTCCGTTTTGGGTTAATTTTTTTTTATTGAGTTAATGATAGGTTACAATCTTGTGAAATTTCAGTTGTACATTAATGTTTGTCAGTCATGTTGTAGGTGCACCACTTCACCCTTTGTGCCCACCCCCCACCCCACCTTTCCCCTGGTATCCACTAAACTGTTCTTAGTCCATAATTTTAAATTCCTCATATGAGTGGAGTCATACACAGATTATCCTTCTCTCGCTGGCTTATTTCACTTAACATAATTCCCTCAAGGTCCATCCATGTTATGGCAAATGGAATGATTTTGTTCTGTTTTACAGCTGAGTAGTATTCCATTGTATATATGTACCACATCTTCTTTATCCATTCGTCTGTTGCTGGGCACTTAGGTTGCTTCCATGTCTTGGCTATTGTAAATAATGCTGCAATGAACATTGGGGTGCATAGGACTTTTGGAATTGCTGACTTCAAGCTCTTTGGATAGATACCCAGTAGTGGGATGGCTGGATCGTATGGTAGTTCTATTTTTAGTTTTTTGAGGAATCTCCATACTGTTTTCCATAGTGGCTGCACCAGTTTGCATTCCCACCAGCAGTGTATGAGGGTTCCTTTTTCTCCACAACCTCTCTAACATTTGTTACTATTAGTTTTAGATATTTTTGTCATTCTAACGGGTGTAAGGTGATATCTTAGTGTAGTTTTGATTTGCATTTCCGTTTTGGGTTAATTTTTATGAAAGGTGTAAGGTCAGTGCCTCGATTCTTTTTTTTTTTTTTTTGCTTGTAGATGTCCAGTTGTTCCAGCACCATTTGTTAGAAAGACTGTCTTTCCTCCATTGTGTTGCCTTTGCTCCTTTGTCAAAGATCATTGACTGTGTTTATGTGGGTCTATTTCTGAGCTCTCTATTCTGTCCCATTGATCTATTTGTCTGTTCTTTCACTGATACCACTCTGTTTTGATTACTGTAGCTTTGTAGTAAGTCTTAAAGTTGGGTAGTGTCAGTCTGCCAACTTTGTTCTCCTTCAATATTCTGTTGGCTATGCTGGGTCTTCTGCCTATCTGTCTAAACTTTAGAATCAGTTTGTCAACATCCGCAAAATAACTTGCTGGGATTTTGTTTGGGATTGCATTGAATCCATAGATCAAGTTGGGAAAAACTGACCCCTTGACAATATTGAGTCTTGCTATCAATGAACATGGAATATCCCTGCATTTATTTAGTTCTTATTTGATTTCTGTCATCACAGTTTTGTAGTTTTCCTCATACAGATCTTGTACATATTTTGTTAGATTTATACCTAGGTATTTCATTTGTGTGGCTGTTAATGTAACTGGTATTATGTTTTTAACTTCAAATTCCACTTGTTTTTTGCTGGTATATAGAAAAGCAATTGACTTTTTTATATTAACCGTGTGTCCTGTAACTGTACTATAATCACTTATTAGTTCCAGGAGGCTTTTTGCCAGTTCTTTCACATTTCCTGCATAGATGATCATGTCTTCTATGAACGAAGACAGTCTTATTTCTTCCTTCCCAATCTGTATACATTTTATTTCTTTTTCTTATCTTACATTATGAGCTAGGACTTCCAGTACAGTGTTGAAAAGCAGGGGTGAGAGGGGATGTCCTGGGCTTGTTCCTGATCTTAGTGGGAAAGCTTCAAGTTTCTTACCATTAAGTACGATGTTAGCTGGATTTTTTTTTTTTTTTTTTTTTTTGTAGATACTCTTCATCAGTTTGCGGTGGTTCCTGCCATTCCTAGTTCACTGAATTTTTGTCATGAATGGGTGTTAGATTTTTAAAAGGCTTTTCTGCATCTATTGATATGGTCAGGTGATTTTTCTTCTTTAGCCTGTTGAAGTGATGGATTAATTGATTTTCAAATGTTGAATGGCTTCGCATACCTGAGACAAATCCCACTTGGTCACGGTGTATAACTTTTATACATTGTTAGATTCAATTTGCTAACATTTTGTTGAGGATGTTTGCATCTGTGTTCATGACAGATATTGATCTATAGTTTCTTTTCTTGTAATGTCATTGTCTAGTTTTGGTGGTAGGATAATGCTTGACTTACGAAGTATTCCCTCTGCTTCTATCTTCTGAAAGAGATTGTAGCTAATTGGTGTAAATTCTTCCTTAAATGTTTGGTAAGATTCACCAGTGAACCCATCTGATCCTGGTGCTTTCTGTTTCAGAAGGTTACTAATGTTTTATTCAGTTTCTTTAATTGATAGAGGTCTATTCAGATGGTCTATATCTTCTTATGTGAGTTTTGGCAGATTGTGTCTAAGGAATTGGCACATTTCATCTAGGTTTTCCAATTCGTGGGCATAGAGTTATTTATAGTATTCCTTTATTATCTCTTAATGTTCATGGGATCTGTGGTTTCTTAGTTAGCCAGGCTAAAAGCTTATCAGTTTTATTGATATTTTCAAAGAATCAGCTTTTGGTTTTATTTTCTCTATTGATTTCCTGTTTTCAATTTCATTGATTTCTCCTCTAATTTTTATTATTTCTTTTCTTTTGCTTACTTTGAATTTAATTTGTTCTTTTTCTAGTTTTCAAAGGTGGAAACTTAGATGATTGATTTTAGATCTTTCTTCTTTTCTAACATATGCATGCAGTGCTATAAATTTCCCTCTAAGCACTGCTTTCACTGCATGCTACAACTTTTGATAAGTTGCGTTTTCATTTTCATTTAGTTCAAAATATTTTAAAATTTCAGTTGGGATTTCTTGTTTGACCCATGTGTTATTTAGAAGTGTGTTGTTGAACCTCCAATTATTTGGGGATTTTCCAGCTATCTCTCTATTATTGATTTCTAGTTTGAGTCCACTCTGGTCTGAGAGCAGACATTGTGTGATTTCTATTCTTTTAAATTTGTTAAGGTATATTTTATGGCCCAGAATGTGGTCTGTCTTGGTGAATGTTACCTGTGAGCTTGAGGAGAATGTGTATTCTGCTGTTGTTGAGTGATGTAGTTTATAGGTGTCACTTATATCCAGGTGATTGATGATGTTGTTGGGTTCAACTATGTCCTTACTGATTTTCTGCCTGCTGAATCTGCCCATTTCTGATAGAGGGATATTGAAGTCTCCAACTATGATAGTGGATTCATCTGTTTCTCCTTGTAGTTCTATCAGTTTTTCCTCATGTAGTTTGACACTCTGCTGTTAGGAGCGTACATGTTAAGAATTGTTATATCTTCCTGGAGAATTGACCCCTTTGTCATTATATAATGTCCTTCTTTATCCTAACAACTTTCCTCGCTTTGAAGTCTGCTCGGCCTGAAATTAATACATCTACTCCTGCTTTCTTTTGATTACGGTTAGCATGGTATATTTTTCTCCATCCATTCACTTTTAATCTATAACCCCATTCTTTTTTAAGGAACATTTCCCAGAAGGCCCAAACAGCATTTCCACTTACATCTCATTGCTAGAACATGACTACATGGCTACAGCACCTTCTTCCTTTTTAATAAAATATTACTTTAAAAAACATTTAAATGTTCTTTTACAATTATATATTACTTCACAATATTATTGAGGTACAGTTTACCATAAAATTTGCCCATTTGAAGTATACAATTCAATGATTTTTAGTAAATTTACAGCGTTTTGCAACAATTACTACAATCCAGTTTTAGAACTTTGTCATCACCCTGGAAAGATTCCTCATGCCTGTTTGTAGTTAATCTCTATTACCCCTCCCTTTTTAGTAACCTCCCTGGAAATACCATATAACATCACCACCTTATTTCAAGGGCCAGACGTTAGTCATATGGTGAAGTTAATTTCAAGGAAGCCTGGGAAATATAGTTTAAAAAAAAATAACCTGGGCACATTGCCATCTTAAACAAAAACTGGTTCCATTACTAAAGAAAAAAAAGAGATTAGATGATGGGTTAGTGATTGTCTTTATCACAGATAGTGGTGTTATACTCTCCATTTTAGAGATGAAGAGACCAAGGCTCAATAAATTGAGAAATTTACACCAGGAAGCCTTTCAGTCTTAAACCTTCCAGTTGAAATTTTCCTTCAAACCAGAAAAAGACCACAATTTTTCAATAATAGCAGTTTAGCTGGAGACCCACCTGTTTGAGCCATGGAATCTGATAGGATCAATGGTGACTCGTTAATAGTCTCTCTGATATCCATCTTAGATTGTCAGAAATATAAAAAACCGACTGAGTCTAATTCTCCACTATTATTGTTGCTCTCTCAGACTGGACTATCCTTCAGCTACTTCTTAATCTAGCTGACCCTTAAAACCCGCTCGGTCATCACCTCCAGGAATTCTTCCCTGACCTGCCTAGTCGGGGCACCTATTATGTGCTCTGTGCCTTCCTGATCACAGTCCACAGAACATGGCCTCCTCTAGTCACAGATGTGCTTGTCCATCTCCCTAGAGCAAAGGTTTGTCCTTGAGGTCAGGAATCTTGCCCATGGCCTTGTTTTCCTGGGGCCTAGTCCAGTGCCTGGCACCCAACACGACCTCAGTCAGTGCTTAGAAGACGCAGGAGGGCGTTGTCTTGGTGTGTCCGCAGTCCGCTTCAGTTATTTGCTGTTGCCAATGTTACTGATTGATTTGTAAACTTTTTATTTCAACACTTATCAAGATTCCAGTGAAACCTTTGAAGAAATTACACTGAATTTTTGAGCTAATTTTTGTTGATGTCTTTTTTGTTTCTCCCAACAGGAAGAGATATAAGGAGCAAGAAAGAGAATGGAAACAGAAGTCGAACTACTCTCCCTTTGCTCCTTCATCCTCTGGTGAATTCTCTTCTCTGAGATCAGAAAGTCCCTACAAAATTGCTGATGCTCCTGCGACAAGGTAGGGTAGGACGACGACAGGAGGAAAAGAAAGCTGTGGCTGAAGACTGAAACATAGAAATAATCGTCCCCAGGATTAGAGAAAGAATGCATTACGGTTTTTCCTAGGCTGAGTGGAAAGCAGAAGTGGGGAGTTTTTTGCTTGAGTCACTACATTTATTCATGCGTTTACTTTTTTACTCATTATTTTATTTAAAATATTATGACTAACAATATTAAATTATATGATGTTAATGGCTACCATTTACTAACTCTTCACTCTGTGCCAAGCATTAAGCTAAACCCGTCACAGACATGACCTCCATTTAACCTTCCTAGCAGCCGCATGAGGTAGAGACTGCGCTGCAGCAAGCCCAGGTTTGGAGAGGGTTCAAAAGTTCCCTGCAGTAGACACTGGATAAATAACAGTAGATAAGACACAGTCCCTGTTCTCCAGGGACTCACGATGTAGTCAAGAGAAGGCAGATGTATCAACAAAGAAACGCTATAAGTTCCGGAGGCGCTGTCAGACAGTGGGGACAAAGGACACGGCGGCCTGGGAGCCATGCAGAAACACTGTACTGAAGTGGTGGCCCTTGACCTGAGTCTGGAAAAGAGAAGAAGGTGTTTGCCAGGCAGAAGGAGGGGGATGAGGCAAGAGCAGAAGAGGCAGAGGCTCAGAGGCGGGAAGTAACGTGGCCGAGGTCAAGAAAGTGTGTGTGGCGGGGGCGGGGGGTTCCAGGAGAGGGGAGCCCAGAGCAGATGCCTGGACAAGTCCTGACGGATTTCCATGCAGCGCTCAACTCTCTGAGTCATGGGGAGCCACCGAAAGATACTAAACAGGGGAACCATGGGGTCATATGTGGATTTGAAAGTCCTGACGGCAGACGCTGGTCTTCATGAAGGGGGTATATACGTGTTTGGGGGGAATTGCAAAGTCTCCCAAATGCTCACCTCTGAGTGGAACCCTGGCTGCACCTCTTGATCATTAGTCCCCAGCTTTCTCGATTTTGCATCTCTCTTAGGAAAACATTTATGAGAACTCAGCCCCTAATCATATATTAATTATTCAGAAATTATATATATAGTTCTATACTAATATGGTATGTAAACTATAAAACATACAGAAAAAGAGAAATTAAAAAGGATGAGATAGAAATATAAAAATAGAAGTTCCAAAGTCTTCTGCTTACAACGGATCCATCATGGATCCACCTTGTGGTGGGGATGACCACTGTGGACGAACCCCAGGTAAAGATTAACCAGGTAAAGGAGTTACCTTTTAGTTTCCCCCACAGAAAAAGCTGAAGCAGTAGAAGGAGCTTTGACTCTCAAAAGACCTAGGGTTTTGAATCTTGGCCCTGCCCTCTTTATGACTTTAGGTCAAGTTACCTAAGTTCTCTAGGTCTGTTTCCTTGACCATAAAAAACGTGGATGGTTGTTATATGTAAAAGACTGGGCATTTTCCATCGGTTATCCCAGTAAAGTCTCAGAACAGCCCTGTGAGGTCAATTTTATTTTTCCTCTTTTTCAGAGGAGGCAACCGAGGCTTACTTGGGTCAAGGCCCAGAATCCTCTCGGGTATATTTCAAAACTCCATACTTCATCACGCTACTCCTTTACTCAAAACCTGCAGTTTCGCTTCATAACCCTCAGGATCCTGGGGGCAAAATCCAAACTCTTAGACTCAAAGCCCTCACAAAGTGGCCCCTGCCCACCTCCGCTCTCCTCTTTCTCCTCCTCGCACTCCCAGCCACCTCTCAAGCCACACTGAGCCCCTGAGCTGCACTAAGAGGTCCAGCCCTCCCAGCCTCCCAGCCTTGCTTGGCAGAAGCTTCTTGCTCTGCAGGAAATGCACGTCCCCCTCCCAGCCCTGGCCTCCTTCCTCGGCCAGCTCCGGCTGCTGCTTCAGTGTGGGCGCAGATGAAGTCTCCTGCTCCAGCAGCGTCCCCCGACACAGAAGGTCAGGGTTAAATGCTTCTCCTCAAAGTTCTCAAACCTTTTATAACATGAAAACTCCCTGAGCCCAAAACAGTGAAAAGAACCCACTGGAACATTCCAGACTGGGAGGTTTGGGGTCCACTCATTTTGGAGAGCGCAGTCCAGCAGCTGTTTGACAGAGTTGCTGCTCTAGGGCAGAGAGAGAGGCCAGCTTCGAGCGCAGAAGGACTGAAAGGTGAAGGACCAGATGCTGACATACTCTGGGCAATGCCCTCAGCTCAGAGCCCTGATTCTCCCATCCGCGGGCAACAGGACAGCCAGAAGTCAGAGTGCTCTTTGCAGAAGCCCATGAAAATATTACCACTTTAAATTCTGGCACCCAAATAAAAGGCTCCCAAATAAATGGGCACCCAAATAAATTTTATGCTATCTACTAGCATGAAACATGAATCTTTAGTATAGCTGCCAAGTTTGGTATCTTAAAGTAACATAAAATGTTAAGAAGTCACGGCTCATTTTGTTCTTAATTATAGCTTCTGCTTATTCGTTTGTTGTTATCCCCCTGATCAGTGGCACACAGCAGAGTTGGGTTTGCCAGGTCCTTATTCTGCTCATCAGGGTCCACGTAGTACTTTCTCACAGCGCTCCTGAGAGACGGGGGATGTCGTCCTCATTTCACAACAGAGGTGACTGAGGCAGAGCGTTAGTGAGCATTGCCCAGCCTCTCTCGTTTGGTACGCCGCTGGGCCAGGGACTGAAGCCAGCACTCAGACTCCAGGGCCTGAGCTCCAGCCTAGCTATTTTTAAGAGAAGGCTGAAGAGGTAAACTTACTATGAAGATAGTCTTATCAACTCATTTTTTCCTTTGATTAGAGAAACAACCGCTGACACTGGAGTAGAGCAGCACAGCTTGTACCCCATTGGTTCAGGCTGTGGAATCTCCCAGGTTAAGAGGGGCCTATAAATACTATGGTTTGTAACATCCATTTTTTGAGGGTAAGAGGAGACCAACCAATTCAGTTCGTTTTAATAAGTATTCATTGCTCTTTCCTCTTCCTTGAACATACTTTAGCCACTTTTTCATCTGGCTAATTCCTACCTGACCCTTAAAGCCCAGTTCGGGCATCACTGCCTCCGGGAAGTGCCCCCAGACTGCCCTAGTGACGGCCTATTTTGTATTCTATGCTTTTCCAAACATGCTCCACTGAATGTGTCCGACTATAGTCACCCAGTTGTCTGGCTCCCCCTCTGTACCGTAAGTCTTCCAAGTTCAGGGACCTCGTCTCATTTAGCGTTGACTTTCTTGCACCTATGGCCCCCACATAGTAAGGATTCAGCAAATTCTTGGTGAAGGAATTAATGATTAGCCAATGTGTGTTTAGCATTCTGCTTCAGTCAATTGCTTATAGAAAAGGTAACTGATTGCATTTTACAACTCTGCCTCTCTATACTCATGAAATTGGGAAAAAATCCTCTTAAAAGATCACACTGAGTTTTAATTTTTTGTTTTTATTTTAGTTAAAGTAATACATATTCCTCCTTGAAGAATCGAATAGAGAGGCAGCTCCGGGATCAGACCACCTGGGTTTTAAGCCCAGCTTCAGGCCCTCCTAGCTGTGTGGCCTTGAGCAGTTACTTAACTTCTCTTCATCTCAGTTTCCTTTATGTAAAACGGGAATGATAATAGTATGTATAGCATGAGGTTGTTATGAGGATTAAATTGGTTGCTGTTTGTAAGGCACTTAGAACAGTGCCGGATGCAAAGGAATATCTAAGTGCATATCAAATTAACTAACCGATGCAAAACATAATATAAATGCTTACTAAATTAACTAATAGTTTTACAAAGCTTGTTACAGAGAAATTGCACTCCTCTGGATTCCTTTCCTATTCTCCAGCAACAACACTTTCCACTTTTTTATCTCCTCTTTTTTTCTCTTTTTTTGAGGAAGATTAGCTCTGAGCTAACAGCTGCTGCCAATCCTCCTCTTTTTGCTAAGGAAGACTGGTCCCTGAGCTAACATCCATGCCCATCTTCCTCTACTTTATATCTGGGACGCCTGCCACAGCATGGCTTGCCAAGCGGTGTGATGTCCACACCTGGGGTCCAAACTGGCGAACCCCGGGCCGCTGAAGTGGAACGTGGGCACTTAACCGCCACGCCACCGGGCCGGTCCTGCCTCTCTCTTTTTTAATCTTCCTGTTTTCTTGGGTTTTTTTTCTTTTCTTATGTACTTATCACAATTTATCTCCAAATTCTCCTTTGGTTGTATAAATCTCCTCCTGGTACATTCAGACACTTTCCGTAGTCCATCGATTTCACCTTGATTTCCCAGCCTTCTGACTTGCCTCACTCCAGGTGGTTGATTTCTAGGCTTTTTATATAATCCTGGAGATTCCTTTCTTCATTGTCTTGATCTCACTGATTTTGTAATCTGTTTCTGTTTGTGTCTTTATGGTTCATCCACAGCGAGGTCACTGAGGAGCCAAAAGCAATGCAGAGAAAGAAAGTCACCTTCCTGACCGTCTCACTTTCCAACTCACCCAAATGAACCTTTTCCAAGAGTTGGGAGAACTTTTCGGATGAAGCCTGAACACATTGTTAGGTTTACTCTAAAACAGAAACAACAAAATAAACCAAAAAATAGTACTGAAACACATTTAATCATTCGCAGTCCATGGGACAATGAATATTGTAGTTCACTCCTACCCTGGGCCCAAGTCAGGATTCACATTGAAGTCAAGGCACCTCACTCATGCATGCATTTACTTACTAGTTCTTTGATTCACTTGTTAAGAAGAAGACTATGGAATGTATAATATTGTTATGTAACATTAATGGTAATCATAGGAGACATCATTTACTGAGCACTTACTATGTCCTGAGGACTCTAAGTCCTTTTTAGACATTATCTTGGTTAGCCCTCCTGGGGGCCCCCCAAGTTGGGTATTATTGCCTTCATTTCTCCTAGGAGGACCCCGGGGCTTAGAGAGGTTGAGCAAGCATTCACTAGGTATCTACTCTGTGCCATGCCTGCACCAAGCCCTGTGCATACAGAGATGAATAAAGACGCAGTCCCTCACCTTAAGGGGCACACAGTCTGGAAGAGGGGGAAGGATGTGTGAGCCAAGAAATGCATTAATACTTGGTGAGATCTCTGTGGAATCCAAGAAAAACCAAATGAGAAAGACTTCGCTGAGGCTCAAAGGTAAAGGACCAGTGTGTGGAAGGACATACAGCTGGGCTGAGGGGCTTGGCCTTTAGCATTTGGGCCTCAGGGCACACGGGAGTAACGTGTTCTGTGTTGGAGCAGTCCACCAGGCACAGCCGAGAGGGAAGAAAGAGTGCACACGGCTGTCTGCCTGAAATGAGCAGCCCAGGTCTTGGGACGTGTGGTATTTCCCAGAGACATGCGTCTTCACTTGAACCCTCAGGGTAACCGTAGGTGACCCCCTTGGAGAATATTGCCCAGGTAAAGGGATAGAGGAAGGGTGAATGGAAAGGAGCTCAATCTTTGGCTTTGAATGCCTGCCCTGCTTCATAATAGATGCATGGCTTTAGGCCTGGTAGCCGTGTGACTTGACCTTTCTGAACTTGTTTTCTGGAATGCAGAAAGGGAATGCCGTCTCTGAGGGTAGTGCTGTTGTGGTGGTTAAATGAGAGAATTTATGCAAAGTTCCTGGCACAGCATATTTCCCTTGATAATTGCTACCAGCTATTATTATCATTGTTGTTCTCATTGCTGTTAAGAAGTATAGTGTTCTCCAGAAACCAGGACATGTTGAGCACCTGTCATGAACAAGGCACCACGGAGCTCACATAACCAGAGCGCTCTCTCACCTTCCCTTCGCTACGCAAGCCACAGTCGACTCTTTATTTGCAGCTCCTCTAAGGAGCCATGCTCTCTCCTATTTCTGGGCCTTGTGCCTATTGCTGATTCTGTACCTGAAAATCCCTTCTCCTCCCTCTTCTCTTCTAACTCCCAACATCACTAATTCCTGTTCCTCTTTCAGGACGCCAAGTAGATGTCTCCTTCTTCAGGAAGCCCTCCCTGATACACCACCAGCAGAGTTGGCACATGTGCCCCTCCTGCGTGCTCCCACAGCCTTTCGTGCACCCCCATTATGGTAGCAGTTACCATGGTGGATGTATTTGCCTGTTTCCCCGTCTATCTCTACCACTAGCCTCCACCCAGAAAGAAGGTCTCCTGGTTTTCTGGGCCCAGAGCAAACTGCACTGCTGTCTTTCAGGATGTTCTGTTGCACAGCTTAGGGCCAAGATCATCCCTGCATGGACCCCTTCCAGAAAATACCGAGGACTCGTAACCATAGGCCTCTTAGGAAGTTCAAGATGAAAAGACCTGTCTCTGCTTTTTGTAAATATTAGAAGGGAAAATTATGGGGCAGAATTCTTTGTCCTTTCTTAGGGAAGCAGGGTGAGCATTGAGGGGAACTAACGTTCAAGAAGCCGTAGCTGTAGTGTGGGATAAAGCAAAGGAGCGACTGCGGGACACTCCAATTCTGTCGCTGCCAGCGTGGCCGAGAACCAGGGCTTGGCATGGGAGCAGCGAGATTCAGGTGTTAAACTGGAGGAGATGAAGTTCACAATCCTACAGCCCTGATTTTGAGTTGTGAATTGAGGACGTATTTTATCTTTAAAAACAAACAGTTGCCTGAGGAAATGAAGGGGAGAAATAGCTAGAAAGGGGAAGGGAGGAGAGGACAGAGGGATTACAGAGGCCTGCAGAAACTTTTGGGGGCGATGGATATGTTCCTCTGTTCATTGTGGTGAAGGATTCGCAGGTACAGACACACGAGACATGCACTTTAAATATGTACTGTTTCTTGTATGTCATTTACACCCCAATAAAGCTATTTTTTTAAAAAAACCTGTTTCCTAACTCTGTCCATTGAAACGACCTAGAAATAAAGATTGACCCAGGAGCAACCACCTAGACTGTGGTCTTGAATTACTATTGCACTAGAAGGATCCAGGGATCCTTGAAGAAATGTCTGGGTCCAGGTCTAGGGTAGGAAAATCATGAGATGAACGTGGAACATCTTGTCATACTAGACAGCAAGGAAGCTCCCAAAGATGAGAGTCCTGTCAGAAGAACTCAGGAGGCAAGTTAGAGAGGGCTCGTTGGCTAAAGATGGGACAGTTGAAGCGTCCATAATAATGATAACTGCCACAGAGTGAAGCACATCAAACACGTTTTCACCTAGATAATGATATATTCATATCGTTACTTTAAAAAATTAATTAGTTGCCATTGAAGGATACTAAGGAACCAGTTCATTCTTTTGAAAGCCAGTAAATAAAACAAATACATAGAAACAGAGATTGGATTGGTGGTTACCAGAGGGGAAGGGGGGAGGGAGGAGGGCAAAAGGTGTGATTAGGCGCACGTGTGGTGATGGACTGTAATTGGTCTCTGGGTGGTGAACATGATGCAATCTACACAGAAATCAAAATATAATGATGTCCACCTGAAATTTCTGTAATGTTATAAACCAATGTTACAGCAATAAAAAATTTTTTAAAAAACAAACCAGTGAATAAAACAAATCAGCATTTATCATGCCATTCCCACATGAACCATATCACCAGGTAACCAAACGGCCGATGAGGGGAAGTTTCTCTTTTAGAAATATTCCACCTAATAAATTAAGAAGAAACGATAGAATTAAAATAGCACCATTTTACAACCCCTAATAAATTAATGGATCTAGAGTTATCATTAAAAGCTGCTAATATCCCTAAAAGAAAAAAATCTATTAAATGCTTCCTGCTTGTAGACCACAACACCACCTAGGGAATAATCTTTACCAAATAATCAGGCCTGGATCTGATCTAGACTCGAGATCCAACTATCATACCAGGAAATACAGAGGACACAGGAACATATGACACCAAGGGGATAGAACCAGCAAAACCCAGGCTATACAAAACTCCAGAGCAAATGACTAGAAAGAGAGGGGGGAATCTATAGATTTTTAAAAAGAGACTTAAAAGGCATCAATCAATTGTAATGTGTAGACATACATTTTTTGATCCCAGTTGAAACAAACAAAAAAATATATGGCATTGATGAGACAACTGAATATTTGAATGCTGCCTGGATGTTTATATTAAAAATTATTATTACTTTTAGGTGTGATAATGGTATTATTGATGCGGGGTCGGTGAGCCAAGGAGTCAAAAGAAAGATTTCTTAGACTCTCAAGATCTGGCAGTAGTGCTCTTTTATTTAGAGAATAGTGTGGAATAGCATGGGGACAGGACCCATGGGCAGTCAGAGCTTCTGCTGCCGCCACTTCTGCTGTCCCCGCTGGCATGGGGACAGGGCCCATGGGCAGGCAGAGCAGCTGCTGCTGCCCCCGCTGGCATGGGGACAGGACCCACGGGCAGTCAGAGCTCCTGCTGCTGCCCTGAGTTGAGGGTTAGGGCTAATTTTATAAGGCATGGGTACGTGACTTATTTTTACTGGAAAAAAAGAAAAGATGATGTAAAAAGTCATTAAATGATTTCAGTGCAGATGGGGTCTGGTTATTGTGCGGTCATATAACTTTAGATACGAATCTGGCCATATAGATCGGCATGTAGGTGAGGATGCCCTGGGCTTCTCTCCCTGGGGCGGTCCTAATTCATACCATAAAAAAAGTCCACTGGGTCATATAGTTTGGCGTGTAGGCCAGGTCACCTTGGGCTTCTCTAGCTGGGGCAGCCTTAATCCGCATCATTATGACTACATTTTTTAAAAGAGTCCTTATCTTTTAGAGATAAATACTGAAATATTGACAAATGAAATTATGTGCTGTATGGAATTTGCTTCAAAATATTATGAGAGAGAGGAAGTGGATGGAGGTATAAGTGAAACAAGACTGGCCGTGTGTTGAAAATTGTTGAAGCGGGGTGGTGAGGATATTATACTATTTTACTTTTGTATATATTAGAAATTATCCATAATAAAAAAATTAAAGGCATTTACTATGGACTAGACGCTTTTAAGCATATTTTCACACATTGTTTTCTTGTCTTCTCCTGGAGCCCTGTGAGTGAGGTGCAATTTTCCCCATTTTCAAACTGAGGCCTTTCTTGGTTGAGGCCCCCCTTCCCCCTGGCTTGGACTTCTACAGTGTTCTCCTAGGTATCCTCCTCGCCCTCTCTCTTGCGCCCTCCAGTCCATTCTCCACACAGTAGCCCAAATACTTCCAGTATATTGACTCATTTAATTCTCACAACTCAGTACTTTTGTTATTCTTGGTTTTCAGATGAGGAAACTGAGACACAAAGAGGTTAAACAATTTCCCCAAGAACACACAGCTAGTGAACGGCTGAATTGTCCGGCTTAGTTGTCATTCCTGTGTGTGCTTATACCATACTTCTATACATGGAAAATAAAATTGCATATGAATATACAGGGCCTCCCATATACTGGTGTCGCATATCAGTTATTAAGAGCACGGACCCTGGAGCCAGGCTGTGAGCCTTGGGCAAGTTACTTAACCTTGTGGTGCCTCAGTTCCATCCGTAAGTAGGGGTGATAAGAGTCCCTACCTCATGGTGTCTTTGTGACGAGTGGATGTGTGAATCTGCGGAAACCAGTCAGTGCTCTAAGTGTTGGCTATCGTCAAATGTTACCTTTGGCTTCTCCTCTTTGCTCTGAGAGCTCCTTTCTCCCCAGCACCTTTCACTCCAGCAGAGCCACTTGCAGCTCCCTAAATAAGCCTCTATTCCCTCTGCCCTTCCCACCTGCCCACCTGGCAAATCCTCACTTATCCTTCCAGCCTCAAATAAGGGTCACCCCTCTGTGAGGAAGCCCCCCACCCCCCGCCCCGGGAGAGGTCTACTTGGTTCCTGACTGCAAGCATAATCCCTCTTATCTTGCCCTGTGTGTGATTATCTGTTTCTGTGCTTATTTTTCATAGTAGACTCCTGGCTTCTGGAGGGCAGAGACCTGTCTCTGTCTCCATATCAGGCAGAGAGCTGGGACCAAGCAGTTCAATAACTGTTGGTTAAATAAACTGTCACAGGCATGCCTCTCTGGGCAGCTATGCAGCGAAGTTGGGAGTTTTTCAAATTTGAAAATAAATCTAAATAAATGAGAAAGCTCCAAATGACTGACATATATGTATACTTGTACATATCTATATATACTACTGTAACTGCCTGTATACTAATCTGTCGTCCCCACCAGGGTTTGTATCTTGTTTGTTGTTGAATTCCTGGCACCCAACATCTAGCACAGTGTTTGACAAATAGTAGGGATGCAATAAACATCTTTCGAATGAATTAAATATGTTTAAGGGCAGATGTATCCAGTGAAATTCTTTTTTTTGTGTGTGATGACTCTTCATTCTTTAGTGCTCTGCTAAACCAGTTCTCCAATTTGAGCTCTTGAAACTCCAAGAATATTGAATCCTATGCCTCTATTTGATTATAAAGTGGTTGTCCACAGAGGGGCAGTAAAGGGTAATGGTTTACAATTCTTGTCTCGACTGTAATCCCGCTGCCTGTTTTGTTTCTGAGAATATCATAGAAATAACACAAAATTTTTAAATTTTGTAGAGAACTTGTAGACTCGCTGAAGGATTTGAGAAACTGGGAATGCTAATTGACACAATTCCTGCTTGACACAAAGGCTTTGGTTGGCCATGCTCTATATGTAGGATAGGAAAGTAGCATTTTGCCATGTAGGATTTTTTTTTAATAAGGTAATTTTTATGTCTTTTATGGCTTCTGAATTTGTGTCATACTTAAAAAGATTTTTCTTATTCTGAGATAATAAAAAATTGTCTCATGTTTTCTTCTAGCACTTTTATTATTTTATTGTTCAGGTTTACTTTCTTTATCCATCTGGAATTTATTTTAGAATAAAGTGTGAAGTATGGTTCCAATTTTATTTTTCTTCCAGATAGCTGCCTAGTTGTTCCAACACCATTCATTGAATTCATCATTTCCCCACTGCTCTGAAATGCCACTTTCATCATATTCAGAATTTTTGTATGATATGAAAGACTAATCTTTTTTCTTTTTTTTGTCCTGATTCAAGTGGAAAGGTCTTCAAGTGTACTTTTTAACTTCCCCAGGTTTTTGGTTCTTAAAAAAACATTTAAAATGTTGCATATAACCATCAATATTATATCCAAACAAGATTTTTATCCTCACTTCATGAATGTCATTACCAAGCTCATTTCAGTTTAAGTGTACTGCACACAACCTTCAAATATTATGAACATTTCTCTCTCCCAGCTGTCACTACACCAAACTACATATGTTATATTTCCCTAAATCATCTCGCTGTGCTCTTTGCAGCTCTTCTGTACAGTTGACGTCTCCCTCTAACAACTTGCTCACAAGTTACTATAATTATTTTAGGTGAGGCCTCAAAGCGAAAGCCTATCATCACTATCAAGTTCATCCCCAAAATGGGCATTCATTTCCATTTAACACGAAGGACACGTGATATTTCTGGAAAATAACAAATTTTGAAGAGCCATGGCAGTTTTCGTTGGTTCTTTAAACAATCCACCAGGGGAAAAAATGTCCTACAAAATGCCAACTGCTATTGTGGTAATTTTTTTGCTATTTATTCCAGCAAAATGATTCAGTCACTGAAGAAAAAGGGTCGCCCTGTGCTAGGTCTTGAACCCGAAGAACTGTTTGCACAGATATTCATCCAAGATCCATCACAGCCTCCACCTCAACAGATGCTCTTTCAAATGTTTCATGACTCTCCTCAACCATCAGGCTCCATTTGAGGGGAGGAGGATGACGCTGCCAGAGCCGGCTTCTGCTGGCGTGAAGGCTGGCCTCAAATTTCTATTTAAAAGCTGGACCAAAATATGTTTGGCTTCTGTTGTCTATTTAAAATTTCAAATGAAG